CAATATCACATCTTCTATCAGAAGAGGGTGAAACTGTTTTCATGTTATTAAAAGACCAACAGTAAAAACATACTATATATTATAAAGGATAGTAAATTATTTCTCACAGAGTTTTAATGGGCTTATTCGCCCCTGCACAGCAACACACACAGTTTATGTGGCATTTCCATTTCCTGCATGCTTTACTATTATTGCACAGGCCCAACAGTGGCCCAAAGAAAAAGTGCTATGTTCACAGCCTTGCTATGTTCAGTTTTCACCAGAAGAATAGAAGAACTTACTAACCCCACCTAGTGCAGGCTGTAGATGTACTCCTACAAACCAAACCTGGTTTCATGTTTATTACAGTGTCTGAAATAGCAGCAAACCAATGAGACTGCTGTCTGTGGTCAAGGACAGTGTTAACCCACTTTTCTCTGATGCATGTTTAATCTAACCTGGTCACATCATGGTAGTGGCTTCCACTACATTGCCTCTAACATCCACCTGGAAGTGTAGTGTACTATTGGAAATTTTCAAGAAAACAAGGTTTTTGAATCTGTTGCTCCTACTACACTTTTCAGGATAATTACAAAGTTTTGATCTGCTGGCTTTGGAATTGTTGGAATGCACAACTGATAGAGCAGATATGCCTAACAAAAAGTAATAGTTATGTAACTAATTACTCCTGATGCTTAGTAAAGTCATGTATCTCACTTTAAGTAAGTAATAAGTATTGAATAATTGATTAGCAGCTTTTCTGCTGCCAAACCTTTCAGGATGCTCTGATTGTGTCTCCTGCATGCTTTGGCATGCTGTGTGGAATGCACAGCCTATTTCAGATGCTTACAGCAACAGTTTGTGTCACCATGATTGGATGCACAGCAAATTTGCTGTGCAAGACCCTGGCTCATTTTCTACATTATGGCATTTCCTATGCTTATAGACTAGTGGTTTTGGATCCTCCAGTTACTGTGGCATGTGCTCTACCAGACTACTGTATTTGCTACATAGATTGTCATCTTGATCTTAGTTTTTCTGGTCTGATCAAACTCTTGCCTGGCACATCTAGAGTTCCAGGGTGCTGGAAAGTGCCACTGTCCCATGGTTATAATAGACTAGTATCTATTGGAAATCTGCCCATATTAGACAAATCTCCATCCATTATTTATATCGCTTATTCCTCAAGAGGGTTGCGGGGGTGCTGAAGCCAATCCCAGCTGACATTGGGCGAGAGGCAGGATACACCTTGGGCAGATCACCAGTCTATCACAGGGCTGACATGTAGACAAAGAACCACACACACTCACACTCACTCCTACAGGCAATTTAGAGTCGCCAGTCAACCTAAGCTGCATGTCTTTGGACTGTGGGAGGAAGCTGGCACATCTGGACAGAGCCCATGCAGGCACAGGGAGAACATCCAAACTCTGCACAGAAAGGACCCGGGTTGGCCAGGGCTCAAACCCGGAATCTTCTTGCTGTGAGGGAACAGCACTAACCATCGCGCCACTGTGCCACCCATTAGACAAATCTACACTGTATGATTTACAGCCAGTGCTAATGTTGAGTGTCAATGCATAAGATAAGATAAAGACAATAAGACTTTACTGATCACTGGTAGAAATTCACATCCGTAAGATAACTGCACAAGAAGATTGAAGTCCATGTCCCATGAAATCATCCCGGATTAACATTCTTGCCTGGAGAGAACACAAAGAGGTAGCTTGGGTAAGACTATACAAGTCTGTGTTCCACATGTCAGGAAGACCAGCAATGGTTAATCAATCTTAGATGAAAGTGGAGTGAGGAAAGATAAAGTGAATTGGTATCTTCCAGCTTCTGACTGGCTGAACACACCTGAACCAGGTAATCAGCAGCAGGTCAGGCAGGGATAGTTGGAAAACAAGCAGGACAACGGCCCTCGAGGACTGGAATTGGCCACTCCTGATAAGTTCAATTGCACTTGCATTATAATCATCATAATCACAATCAATAAATGCATAAGCCTCACCCAGTGGATCATACTATTAACAAGATACTATAAAGCTGTCTCATCACTGTGTCCCTGTAGCTACTTGTTCTAATACTATAGGTCTAGATAAAGATGATAAAAAAAGTGCCATGGGGGCTGTTTGGTTAGTATTCTCATAATACATGATTTACTAGTGCAGATATTCATAAGCTCCATGAGAATATTGCCAGGTTACTAATGTAATGTGTTATTCGGGCTGCACTTTGTGCCCTACCAGAAAACCTATCCAGAGCTGTTAGCAGCCTTGTTATGCTTGGCGGAGTGTGAATATCTGTGTGAATGTCTGTCTGTGCATTCCAGCTACCTATTCAGGTGTTTGCCAGCCAATGGAATGGAAAAGGCTACTTAAGGACCATCTGTTCACATCAATTAGGATTACACACGCTTTACATACTTTAACATTATGAGCCAGTGAAGTGTGAGCAACCTGTCACCTTAACAGGACAGATTTAATCATGTGACTCTGAATCATTTAAACTGTGTGCCTCCATTCTGGGTAGTTTAATTGACTAGTTGTTAATAGTCCTGCTAGTATTAGGAAGTGAGCATAGTGCTGCCTTCAGATGCTGTCAGAAATGTTAATTTCCAGAGTTTTTCAGAAAAGTACATGCATACAGAAAACCAGTACAATAGTTGACTCTGAAATGTAGCAATGTCAAAGTATGAAGTAGCAGAAAATGAAAATATTCAAATAAGGTACAGATACCTCAAAATTGTACTTAAGTACAGCACTTGAGTAAATGTACCTAATTACTTTCCACCACTGCAAAAAACGTGTCAGTCAGTTTCCGGAACCACAAGATACTTGCTAATTGGGGAAACCTAAACACTGTACTGCTAGTTTTTATGAAGCTAAAGTCTGTATTTGTTGTGTAGCCTGTGCATGTCCTCATGTGTTCTTGTTTTGGGCACAGACTTTATTCACTTGCATTGTTTGTATTGTTTTTGTTGGTATGCTGGTGCAGTGTGATGAAAGCATATTGTTATTTGCAACCCCAAAATAAAACATTTCACTGATAGTTTGACAGCAATAGAGGCATTGTTTCTAATAGTATTTGACTTCCTGCATAATGATCCCTGCAAAAGATCATGCCATAGCTGAACAGTTAAATATTGGGGCTTCAACAGCACCGAGGAAATCTCCATCCTGTCTGTCTGTGCAACTTAGATGCCAGCTGTTTATGTGAAAAGCTTCACCACAACAAGAAAATGTGCATCACAAAAAACATGTAGGAAATCAAATACCCCTGTGTATAAAATTTTGTAAAGATGGAGGCAGAGTTGTACGACAAAAGTTACAATTGTGTTTAGATTGTGAACAAATGTGTATGTGTGTCACTTTGTGATGAAGACTTGTTTTGAAGTGTAAACATGTTGTTTTCAAGCCTTGATTTCAGTACAGACATTTGTACTTATTTATGGCTTTGAAATGCCTCAGATCCTTCTAACCAGTAATTATCCTGAAGTGGACCTGAACTGCCATTCTGTTGTTACATTGTTGTGACCCATTGCAAACCCACAGCGGCTCTTGATGCTTAATTCTGCAGGTAACTGATACAGACACATATAAAGCATGTACTCAACACATGAAATCTGTTATATAAATCCTACTACAATAAAGACAGTTAAAACCAATTATTATTATCATTATGTATTAATTTCCATAATGCATTGCACAAACATACAGTATATTAGGATTTTCCAGGACTACTTAAGTTGGTTCACGGAGGCATCTCTAAGGTGTGTTATTTTGCAAAAACAATTTCAGAATGACTTGCCATTTCTTGTCATAGCACTAGTTGTAGCAAAACTGTGACATATTTTTTGAAAGGGGTTTTAGGGCCAAAAAGGTTAAGAATCAATTAATCTTTAACAGTAGACCTATACTCAATTTTATAAGCTCATCACATGCTTCTTTGCAGAGGTGGAAAGTAACTAAGTATTGTACTTAAGTACAACTTTGAGGTATCTGTACTTTACTTGACTATTTTCATTTTCTTCTACTTTATACTTCAACTTCATTACATTTAAAAAAAATGTACTTTGCACTCGCTACATTTACTTAACTTAGGGACTTTAGTTACTAGTTAATTTTCAGAATGAGATTAATAAGACAAAATGCAGTCTAATCATAAGACTTTATTGATCCTCATTGTAAAATTCACAAGCTACCCAGTAGTATGTAAATTAGTTCAAATTATAAGCATATAAGCTGGTTAACATTTGTTCCACATTTACCAGCTGCAGCATTAAAGTTATGTACACAATAATACATCAGTAATTATAATCCAATAATATCATATATATTAATGCAAATTGTGCCATTCTGCATAATGAGTATTTTTTATTATTGGTACTTTGAGTATATTTTTATGCCAAGATTTTTGTACTTTTACTTAAATAACATTTTGAATTTTACTTGTAATAAAGTATTTTTACACTGTAGTATCACTACTTTTATTTAAGTAAACAATGTGAGCACTTCTTCCACCACTCATTCTTTTCTTCTATGTCAAATCTTACTCCTAGTAACAAGCTGTCACAAGAACATAGTAGAGTTTGTAGTGTAGTGTATTTCCACCCTAAATGCAGTGTAGTATGAAACAGCATAAAATAGAAGTACTCAAGTCAGTAGCAGGTACTTCAAAATTGTGCTGAGGTAAAGTCCTTGCACTCAGTTACTTTTCACTACTGCTAGTTTTTACCACGTGCACTAGTAAAAGGGGAAAAAGAAACAATATTGTTGTAGTCTTATTTTCTCTAGCCTATTTTGTTCAGGGTGGTTCTTATTATATTTTTAATTAAAGAAGTTAAATGTCCGCATGAATTACGTGTATATTTTCTACTCTGATTCTGACACTGCAAAGGAAACAACGTTCAGAACTTCCAATGCAGACATTTGCGAGCGGCACCTGAAGGCATCGATAGTCTCGCGGCCACTAAACGGAGAACGATGATCCTGCTCGTTGATTGGCTGCCGGACGCTGGGCGCTCCATCCTGCAGGCAGACTTGCACAGATCTGGGCAGAGTGCTCAGTCAGCGCTACATGTATATCACACACGCCCACATTAATGAGTGCACACCACCGGCTGCAACATCCAGCCGACTTCACCTGAATCAGCAAAGCGAGGAACAAAACCACAGAACAATGCGCGCATATTGCATTATGCGATACCGCAGGTTATTACTACTTTTGCGCTCTTTCAGGAGGTAATGGGGGAGGTGTAAGCTTGCATGCTATCAACATGGATTGCCTTTTTCTTCTGATATGGACTTTACCCATCCCGCTGGTCGGCTGCAACTCAGTCAAGCTTCTCTCCACCCTCTTGTCCTGGAATATCATCAAGGCATGTGGCACTTAATTATAAATGCATACACTTTTATATTGAGCACATGCACATTTCGAGCATGGGACCAAAAACTATTGTCATTAATTGTGGTGACAAGTAAAATAAGTGACTGTCATCACAAATTAAAGTTTAACTCACTTTTCATCACAGGAACTCCACTTATCCCCTTTAGGCTTCCACTTCGGAAACTGCTTGCAACCTGTTTCTACCTGTCCATGTATGAGGTTTTTTTTCTTTTGCAGACGCTGCACATTTGCTGCACAGGCACCTCACACGCCGCGTCGGCCAGCTATTCTTCCAGCGACAGCCACGGATTAAATCATGGTGAGTGCTTGACTTTGGACATGTGTAGATGTTTCTCCCAGTGGAACCAGTCTATGTTTGTAGAGAGACTGAAAAAAAAATGACATGGAGGTTCAGTTACTGGGCTAGGGTTTCCAAAACATAACACTTAGGAATATTACAATTTCAGTTTTAAATTCTATGTTCACTAGTATTCTTTATGTGGTGAAAATCTTAGGAAGCCCACATATGTATAATATACTCAGGCACTGCTGCAGTGCTAAAACAGCATGACCAATGAGTTCTGTGCAGACCACGGGATGCCCTCTTGGCTTCTTTGTCCTATACAAACCAAGGAGACAAGCTGAGGTATTTTACAGATTTTGATTTGCTGATGGATTTCCTCTCTTGTGAAGAAGGCATCCTGGTTTAGAGGGCTGGGTCATAATAATGAAGGGTTTTATTTTCTGAATATACAGAACCTCAGATCCTTTGCCAAATTAACACAGCTGAGAGAGATGGGAAACGTTAAAACACTGCTTTTATCTTGTCTTCTACTGATGTCTTGTATTGAAATGATACAGTAGTTTTAGCATTTATTTGACTGCAACATCATTGTAATTGCATAAAATCAGAGCATTTTATGTTCACACCCTCTTGTTCTTAAGTATTGACCCATGTCAGACATGCATAGAAATATAATGTTGACAGTATGGCTTCTGTTAAAGCCATCTCTGATCAATTTACTTGCTGAACTCTGTAACCTCACAAACTTACTGTATTTTTTTTAGTAGCAGAGGATGTAGCTTGTGTTTCTTGGTACTTTCTTGGACATGCATGTTAGTGAAGAAAGTTGTAGCTTTCTTTTAAAAAGCCTTAAACACTGTCTCCATCTCATCCCAAATTACCATTGCAGTTTCAAACTGAATGAAGAAGGAGATGAAGCAGGATTTTAGAAAGTGTGAACTCCGAAGAACAGTGTGGTGCAGAAGCAATGAATATGTGATGTTGGCACTGTCTGATGTGACTTCCACCCATGCCTCTACTCCTCAGACTACATGTTTGTAACTCCAGTTGAGGTGGACTCTGAGGGAGGATACCTGACCCACGATGTGACCAGGCGAAGCCATCGCAGCAGGAGGTCCCTCTCTCCTTCTCTACATTATCGGCTCTCTGCCTTCGGGCAGGACATGCACCTGGACCTGCATCTGTCCTATGTAGTTGGCCCGGGGTTCACCGTGCAGATGCTCGGCTTGGACGGCATTGCCACAGTGATGGATGACACGGGGTTTGACAACTGCCTGTACCAGGGATTCATCCGTAACCTGTCGGCCTCCTCAGCAGCTATATCGACATGTTCTGGACTGGTGAGTAACTTATTTTTTCTGAAGGCATTGCAAGTTTTTGTTATGTGACCAGCTACAGTTGTGTTGTACTCTACTTAAATTGATTACATGGTTATCTCATTAAATGGATTATATTATTTTAGCATGGTTTGAGAAAATGTACTATCCCTTGGGTTGATGTAACTTTTCCAAGCCATTCTGGATTACCTCAAAACCTTGATGGGAATGCTGTTTGTTTGTTGGTTTCTTAAACGTTTAATAGCCACTTTAGAAACTAAAGACACTCCCTCAACAGATTATGTGCCCCACCCCTACCTCGAGCTCAATGCCTTCATGTCCCAAATGCATTCTTTCTTCTAATGACCCAATTGTTTTGGTGCTTTATTTCCCGCATTATTCAGACCATGGTAATATTATGAGTAAACTGTAACATGACATCATTGCCCATGAGAATAAGCATCAGTTTCCAGTGCTTTATCCTGCACTTCTTTGAACACTGGGAGGAGTGGACAAAAGTGGAAAAAAAGATACAAGGAAGACAACTGGAAGAAGAGACATGTTAGACTGCTGACATTACAGCGCATGAGGAAAGGCTGTAATTCTGTGGAACTGTGCACTGTAGAGCCAGCACACATAACAGACTCACTGATCAGAAAGGACAGTCTCTAGGAGATTTGACTGACATGTTGTGCTGTGTATTTGTTAGATGTGCCCACTTTAAATCCAACATTATAATACACAGACAATGTGACAAATGAAAGGAAAACCCAACACAAAGTGTCCCAGTAAGGTGCTGGCCACCACGTGGCACTAGAACAGCTTCAGTGCACCTTGCCGTTGACTCTCCAAGTCTCTGAACTCTACTGGAGGGATGAACACCTTCTTCCCACAGATATTCCCTAAGTCAGTGTTTTGATGATGGTGGTGGAGATGCTGTTTAACACTCCAAAGTCTCCCATAGGTGTTCAACTGGGTTTTGAAGTCTGGTGAATGTGAAGGCCACAGAATGTGATTCACATAATTTTCATACTCCCATTTCCATTCAGTGACCCCTCAGGTTCTATGGAAGGGGGCACTGTCATCCTGGAGGAGACCACTTGTTTATTCAGGTTCTTCTTTTCTTTTCTTTTATTGTAATTCTTGTGGGAATGTAATTTCAAAGGTCAGTGTGGAAAACAGTTGGTTTTGGAAATACCATGGTGAATGCTCTAGATGGCCCAAGTCAGACCACTAACCACCAGTCACACCAGCACTAACTGAATGGCTGTCTACAAGTGCAGGACTGGTGATGTTTGTTGCCTTGTGGAAATGTTTCACATTCTCAATGTTTTTGCCTTTGTTTACACATCTATGCTAAGGTTTGGTCACTGCCACTTCCATTTTTCCTCATTCTCCACACCCACTGTGCACTGTGTGAATGCATATTGGAAGGAACAACATTTTGGGAAATATGCCTGCTGCTTTTTTTCAGAAATTGAAAAGAGAAGATTACTATCAAACTCAGTGTGTTTACTATGCAGTTCAAGTCAGGATGAGGTTAGCCTCTCTTTATCCCTAGTGACCTCAGCACACTTGATGATTCTGCCACATCTTTACACAAACAATAGGATAAAAAGATGAAATGTCTTTTTTTTTTTTTTTACCCGATATCTAGAAGTGGTGTCTTCAAATCTCACAGATGTCTGCTTTCTGCCTGAAAAGATAAAGTGTTTGCCAGAGGCAAAATCAACATTTAATATTTCCACAGGCGGCACTGCTCCGCTCTGCAGTATTTCTTCAGTGGAGCTTGTGTTAAGTCTGCTGCTGCTCAGGCTGCAACAGTGACCAGCTCAGTCTGTAAATATTTGCCTCAAAAAATTTTTAACTCTTCAGGCAGACAGAAAACAAATGTGTTTGATAACCTGCTGCTGTAATACAGGTAAAAATGTTTCTTTGATTTTGCATATAAGTTTACTAAACCTAATGTACAAAGTACTGAGGTGACAAATGGCCTGAGCTTAGCTTAAGGACTTGGGGCCTTCCAAATTGAAATATAAACAAATGAACAAAAAATGTTTACCAGCACCTCTAAAACCTAACCTAACATAACATAAACAGAAATGGATATTTGGTTTGGGGGTCTTTAGTAGTAACCATGCCTGGAAGTAGTCAGCAGTAGTCAGTTTGTCAAGAAGAGTAGCAAAATGGGACGGTCCTAAAAATTAGTTTAACAAACAGGATACCAGTTAATTAATGAGCTTGAGGGGTGTTAGAACATTGTTAAGCTGTTTACTTGCTTAGCATCTTACAGTGGCATGTGCCGAGTTCACTATCAGGTAAAACCAAATCACAGAATTTGTGATGTTCACAACAGACATGTTTGGGCCTTGGGGTATGGATTTTGATTGATTTTGTGTGAAGTCTAAACATTCAAGATACAGATATTTTCCTTAAACTACAAAGACTCTGTAATTAGAAGATTCTATACTTTCATTTGTGGTTTATGAGGTGCCGGTCCCTCTGACCTACCAGCACACACACATTCCTTGACACATCCCACACCAGCCGGGCCAGATGGACACACTACACCTCCATAAAAGCCATACCTCCATTTATCATCTATCCTTTCTCCCTCCTCTTGCCTCCTCCTCCTTCCCTGTTGGCCCTGCTCCTTTGTCCCCTGTTTGCCCTGCCCCTATGCCTCCTCTTGTTCTCAGCAATTAAAGCCAGGGTAAAGTTTTAGCTGCCTAGCTGGCACTGCTAATTTTCGCATTGTCCCTTTCATTAGGCTAGCTCCCATTCACAATAAAACACCACTGACCTGTTCTCTTAAAAGAGCTGCAAGGACAATGTGATTGGGCTGTGATTGAACAGTACTTGATGAACGCTTTGATCTATTTTTTACTCCTCCTGAGTTTTTTTCCCTTCTTCCTCTTTGAAATGTGACCCCACGGCCATCGCTGGTTGGATGCACTCTTTGCCTGGACTCATGTTTTTGCATCTCTAGCAGATAGGCAACTTTTTTTTTCTTTCCTTTTTTTAAATAAAGTGAGATGAAATGACAAGTGCATCAAAGGGGATTTCTAGGCCTTTTCTCTACTCTCTGTCTCTTAGGGCATCAGTCCGTGCGTGTTGTTAGACTGCTGCGAGGCTTAGAACAATGAAAGCAGTTTACCCCTGCTTTTCATCTAGCCCTCTGCCCAGAATATTTGGATTAAGTACAAATGAGGAAAGAGCCATTCAAGCCTGCTGAATGCAGGGATGGGTTCAAGGAAGAGATTAAGATTAAACACAATGCCACAGAGTGAAGTAAAAAAAAAAAAAACAGAAGAAGAGCAGGAGATTTAGGAAAACATTTGACAGAGAAAAAAACAAAGAGGGTGAAATAATAAATGAGTCGTGAGCTGGACTTGGGATGTGGTGCTAGAGAGAGAAAGGATCATGTGAGTTTATTGTCTGGGGTGGAAGCTTCCAGGGATGCTGGATGGTCTCTGTATAGAGAGATGGAGAAATGGACTCTGTTTAGGTCAAAGGGTTTTTGAGAAGAAGTGGGGTGAGAGCAAGAATGAAAAAGAATTTTCTCACTGTCCATGTCATGGTCTCCTTTCAAAAGAGATGAAAGAAGAAAAAGGGGAAAATAAAGTCCCTTTAATTGCTGTTTCTGAAACTTGGATGAATAATGTAAGGGGAATGGATTTTGACCTTGATGGCTATGACTTGGTATGCACAAACAGAGAGAATAAGATGGGAGGTGGTGTGGCCTTGTACATAGATAAAAACTCTTGTTATAAGAAAGTAGACAAAATGTCTAGGGTAGTTGATAATTTACTGGAATGTGTGACTGTTGAACTACTTTTGGAAAAAAAGAAAAATGTTGTAATAAGCTGTATTTAAAGAGCACCTGGAGCCAGCATAGAAAAATTTAATGACTGGATGGAAGAAAATTACTTGACAATAAGTCATAAATTAATGTTCATATGTGGTGACTTCAATATAGATTTGTTAAATCCTAACAAGCACACAGGAACTGAGGAGTTTATTAACACAATATATAGATGCAGTTTATACCCAAAAATTACAAAACCAAGCAGAGTAACAACCCAGCATGCAACACTAATACTGTAGATAATATATTTACCAATGTTATTGACAGCAAAATGTCTAGTGGATTACTTATAAATGATAT